CTAAGTATTGCTGATGAGGTTTTCTGTTTCTATATGTCTTAATAGTAAATAACCTCACACTTGGAGAGCCTGCTCTGTAGATTCTGACTAAGGAGATACTGCCTGGTGCTCACAATCCTTTTCTGGCCACTGAAATAATTGAAATGTTTGAAATCATTTCAGTATTAGAACTGAAAATTGGTGAGATGGGGATGCTTAGGCTGTTAGGCAATAATGACAAGTGCTGCCACATAAGGGTATAATTTTTCTATAATATGAAAATATTTATTAACATTAAAATTTTATTTATCCAAATTTTGGTATTTGTGCAATATAAAATACTGTATATTAGTATCAAATTTGTTTCAGCTATAAACTTTAAGGGTTTATTTCTCTTTTAATTAACAGTGTAATACTTCAAACTACCTATGAGTAAATTCTATATGATTAACTTTGGTTGCTAGTGAAATTTTGCAAAATATCAAATTTGAATGGATATGCTGTGAATCCTATGGGTGCTTGCAAAATCAACTGTTCAATTGAGTGGCACCATCTACGATATTATCATTTGTTAGCATAGCAGGCAAAGAGAGAAAGCAGGAATGATTTAACACAAATGGTCCCTTTTCAAAATTAATGTTAAGAAGAAATATGAATCACACTAGAGAAACTATCCACAACCTCAGCTTTGAGGTGACAGAAAGCAAATTAAAAGAAGGAGAAGAAGAAGAAGGAGAAGGAAAAGGGGGAGAAGGAGGAGAAGAAGAAAGAAAGCAAGCAAGCAAGAAAGAAAAAAGAAAGAAAGGGAGGAATGAAGGAAGGAAGGAAGAATACTATGTGATCTACAAAACGTCCAGGGTCTCTGAATGCCAGTGTGACATCACATGGCAATGGAAGTTTAGAGTTATTGGATCATGGCTATTGAATTTTCTGAGTAACATGTAACTAATGTATTCAAGGAAATTTGTGTTCAGTTTACCAACAGAGCAGCATATAACTTGGAGTTCCCTCTTACTTCTCCACAGGGTTAAAATGCTTTCCACTTTTAATGTTTTGAGAGATATATTGTGTGTTCAGTGATACATGGACATATTATTTTTATGATTTTAATAGTTTCCTTCTTTATACATAAAAACACTACAGTAAAATGCTAAAAGATGTATTGGGCCATAAAACTTAGTTACTTTCCAGAATGGGTCAAAGAGTTTGCCTTTAACAAGACCTGCTGTCATAAACATCCAAACTTATCCATGGCTGATTATCCATGTAAGGGCACTGGGATTTGTGGATTGTGTTGCCACTAAACAAAACATCCACCTAGGATTCTGGAGAGCAGTTTCTCTCTGATAGCTCCTTATTCCTCCCCTCATCAGCACCCTGAGACAGACTTGACTCAGCGTGGTGCTCCTAAGATTGCGAATGTGTAGATGAAGCCATCCATGATTCCATTGATGTGGAGATGCTGACTCTAAGTGTTTCAGTCACTTTTTATACAGCTAAGAATTAGGTCAATCTGAACCACATTTTATACAGCTAAGAAGTAGGTCAAAATTCAAATAACAGAGCATCTAATGCCCTATTTTTACAAATAAAGTATTCCTGGAAACAACTGTTCCCATTGGCTCATATTTTGTTCACAGCCTGTTTCATTCTACAACTGTACAAGTTGTAACAATGACTACGAGTCACAAACCCTAAAATATTTGTTATCTGACGCTTTAGGAAGACATTTAGTTGAAAGTAATCTAAAGTAATACCCAATTATTGAATTTCCTCATGGTCTGTGTGTGTCGCAACTCTTTGATATTTTCAATGGCTGTATTTTATGTTCAGGTCATAGGAGAGTTCCATACCCTAAGCAATGAGAATCATAAAAAAAAATCCCAATGAACTTTTCTGTTTACTTGCTATTGACAGATTTCTTTGTCATTACATATATAGTTAACTTCAACCTTAGGCTATTTACTGGTACTTCATTAAACTGACTATTCAAAACAGCAAGTTAAATTTTCTTGAGGGTAAATTTAAAGAGAATTGTCTAGAAGGAATGTTGTGGCTTGGAGACTTATAGTCTAAGGTATCTGTCATATTTTTTTTTTATACTTTCTTATTCCACATATAGAACATGTCTTTCAGGAAAAAGAGTTGGAATAATTATTCCTTATTTTCACAGAAAACATGAGTGATAACTAAGAGAGTCCAAAATCTCAAACTACCAATTACCAATTAAATTTGCAAACAGCACTGGAAAACTAAAAACATCATGATTACAAACAGGAACCAAGAATTAAACTATTTATATAATCAGAACACTTTGAACAGGAAACTTTGACAATGAAAGAACTTTTTATTATAATGATATTATTAATCTAATTGAGCAGGATGGCTTTGTGGCTATTATTATTTTTCTCCCATTAAATGGACAGACTGGAACCTTGGCATTCAATTAGAATCATATTGATATTTTGTAGAATGTGTAGCTCTTATTTTTTTTTCTAGATATCACAACAATTTCAATGATCCATTTGGTTATTGTTCAAAAATGAGCTGCATGGGGGGGGGTAGCTAGAAAAAAGAAAGTGCTATAATGGTCCTCACCAACTGTAAGCACACCAGGAACCCATTCTTTTCATGTTGAAAAATTCTCTCTAGTATATCATTCATTCATACATTCTGCATATATTTATCAACTCTTCCAGAAGCTAAGACTATAACAGTGAATACAATCGTCTCAAGTGTCTTAGCAAATCTGCATTCATGCATGATAGATGAAAACACATAATGAGTATATGGTATGTTCATAAGATGATGCATGCCTCATAAGTACCAAATGTAGAACAGAGTGTGGGATTTTACAGTTCTGGATCAGTTAAGAAGTTACATAATAAAGTTTTATCACTTATACTTGAATGAAAGTCTTATACACACACACACACACACACACACACACACACAGCATAAGCCAAGTTACCCCTGAGATTCTTTAGAATATTAAGACTAACATAATTATTTTAGATTTCATAATGAAAAGAATAAAAACTTATATAATTATACACTACAGATGAAAACTGATGTTATTTAAAGACAAAAGGTTTATATAGACTGAACTGAAACCATTATATAAGATCTAATTTTATGGATATGATTGTAGCATTTTTCAGTCTAGAGTCTATCATCAGAAGAAAGCCAACACCGTGGTAATAAAATCGTGCCCCAAGTTTAAGAAATTAAAAAAGGATGGCCACATGGGAAATAGTCTAAAAGAACATACAGTCAAACTGGGTAAAAATCGAATTGCATACCTTGTAATTACTGGTAACATAAGTCACAGATGATGGACAGCAGTGATTAAACAGACGTGCCCAAGGCAAGGGAGAACTGAGTAAGAGATTAATATCATTGCACTTCATACACATACAGGTCAACTTTATGGTTAAACTGAAATAGGAAGATAGTTTGCTCCAAGCTACATAAAACTCCATATCCATCATCCATCTAGAACTGACTAAACTGTGAGAAGGTATAGAGCAATGCAGAGCATGGCTAGAATGTTGTAGCCAGCTTCGGCATTCCACACACTATCAGAACTGACAGAACTTGCCAAAGACAAGTAAAGTAATTCTAAAACAGCAATCTCTCAACAGAAATGAAATTTCCTTAGCCTTTTCTTTGAATCAGTGTTAGTAAATGCTAATATACCTCACTGGGTACTCTATTATAAATGAGAAGAGATAAAGGAAGATGAAGATGATGACAGGAACATGACCATCATTAAAGATGACAGGTTCACCAAAGAACTCATAGTGGAATAGCTTTCTTGGTAAAGAATTTTTCTTAGATTCTTTCACATTCCTCATAATATTTTTTTGCTGTCTGTACTTCCCCTGGAGTGTAGAGCTGATTTCTCCATGCCTCAACTTGATCACACTAAGGTAAGAAGTTTGCCTTTGGCTAATTTCAATGGCATTTCTGTTTTTTAATGTTTTAAATTGTGTAGCTTAGTTATATTTACTAGCTAGCAAGTTGTGATAGTTTTATAATTTGCCAAAAATTGTTTTCTAGTTGAACAGACTTCCTTGTTTTATGAATGTTCACCTTTTGGGTATATATGCCTAAGAGTGGAATTACTGGATCTTGAGGTAAATTAATTCCATACAGGCGATCTTTAATGCCCTTCCACAATAATGAGATTGATGATCACTTTATATGCCATCCTAGAGCCTTCATCTTGTAGCTGATGGAAGCAGAAGCAGACACCTACAGCTAAACACTAGCCAAACTCCTGGAATCCAATTACAGAGAGGGAGGAGTGATGAGCAAAGAATGTGGGTGTCAGTTAGGAGGCCTGGACAGTTTATGGGGCGTCCAGTAAGGGATCAAGATTTATCCCTAGTATATGAATAGACTTTAGGAGCCCATCTTACATAGAGGGATACTTTCTCAGCCTAGACACATGGGTGAGGATCTAGGCCCTTCTCCAAATGATATGATAGACTTTGAAAACTCCCCATGGAAGGTGTCACTTTCCCTGGGTAGCAGAAAGGTGATTGGCTGGGATTTGGTGAGGGTGATAGGGGAGGATGAGAAAATAATAATAAATAAATTAATTAATTAATAAAAAAAGTTCGCCAGTTTGGTTTTTGAAAGTCTCCTTCATTTAAAACTTAATCTTTTTGTATCCAAATCTTTTCTCTGTACAGTACCTTATTGTTCACATACCAGTTAGGGATTGTTGGGTCTATTGAACGAACAGGGAATATGTCCCAATGGAATTTTCTACAGTTATTCTAGCCTTCCCCTTTAAAAATGTGAGCCCCATAATGCTGCTTCTAATCACATTAGGACTCATCTACCAACCAAGAGTCACTGGACTGTGCTGCTTTATGTCATGTTCTGCTCACAAGGTGGACTGTGGTGTGCCCAGCCTTCCATTTAGAACAAACTTTGCAAACTTTCCTTTGCCTCCTATGATACTGCCACTACCAAAGATCGATATGAGCACTGCAGTAATATTGGGTTACCATGGCTGTTGCATCGCGATGTTTCAACGAGTCTGCCATTTTGGTCGTAGCACGCCATTGCTTGGTAACGGTATCCTTGTCCACATTCCTTGCTGTCTCCTTGTACCTTCATTCCCAACAGCATTTCAGCCTTCCCTTCTGGTAAAATACAGTCTGACCAGTTTCCCACAGGCTGTGCGTTGTATTTGTCACAAGGACAATACTGAGTCTCAATCAGAGGGTATAAATGGGAGTTTTTACATTTTTCCTTCTTTTTACTTTTTCCTGTAGAAGAGAATTACATTGGAAAATAGCATTATTAATTTCTAACATCCTTAGATCTTTCACATTCTTAAACTTCTGTTCCCTCTTTTGATTCTATTCAGTAGTAGCCTATAAATAAATGATATTTTTTCATTTCTCAGTATTTTCTAAATACAGTTTTTGCTGATATTCGGTGCTTTGGGCTTTGCACAGTGGAACTTTTCTTACTTTTTCATTTAAAAATAGTTCACTTTTGCATAAAGGATTGTAGTTGATTTTTACATTCTTTGAAATGACTGAAATCTTTGTAATGACTCAGGAGTGTGTGGCAATTGCACTAACCTTTTCTTTTTTAATATATACAAAAATACAAGAGTCAGAGATATAGACAACTCATTGGGTTGCATTCCCTTTTGATGAATGCAAAGAGGTGGCAGAAGTCCAATGGGTTTTAATTCATAAATGGAAATTTAAGGCTTATTTCTTGGCCTCTTATTTTATATCTTTCAAAATTTCTGAACAGCAGTCCCTTTGACATACTTGATGACTAATACAGACAATACCAGTAGTATTCAAAAGGAATATTTGGGTATCAGAATAAAACATTTTAAATGTTTTGAATCAAAAGAAATAAATTCTCTCTTGAAAATCCTTATATGTATATTTTCAAATTATATCTTTAATTTTGCTAGTCATATCATATGAAATGTCCATGATATATAATCATAATTCTGTCATATATAATAAATCCTTTAAGTACATTATGAGGTTTAATAACATACTTATTTCTAATTTATACACATTGATACATATATGGTTAGAATATGAAGTTTTCCAGGGTCATCAGACTTCATTTGACTTTGGCTTATCTTATAATTTGAAAACTCTTAACAGTCAACATTTTGTTTTGTTTTTTTCTTTTTCTATTTTGTTCCTAACAGTATGTCCATATGCCTCCAGGTTTAGTGTAGCTATGTCACTTGTCTTTTCACTTTTTAAAGCCATTGTGACTGTATTTAAGTGTAGCTTTCAGGCTGAATTAGTGCTGCATTTCTCACTGTAGGAGATAAGCCAAGGGCTAAGGTTGTGGCACTAAGAACAGACTGAGATGGTAAAGGGTAGCCTCTACTCCTTGTTCCAGGCACATCAAAATTTCTGGTCAATGCACTAAAGGTGCATGTTTAAATGACAATAATGTTTTATTGTTTGTTGCATAGGAAATTAGTTTGCCTTTTCTTTCTTCTAAAAAATGCTATGCTTTATTGTTGTTACCTTGCATTAAAATACACATCTTAATATTCTGAAATATTCAGTATAACTGCAGCAAAAATAACGGTTTTTCAAGTATACTGTCAGAATGCTCTTGGTTTGAGTTTTATTGTATTTATCTGTCATGCTAAGAGAAGCCATTAACATCCCAATTATTCTTACCAACAATTGCACGCTTTCTGGTTCTAACTGCACCACAGTCTCCATTGCATGAAGAAAACTTGGACCAGCTGGTAAATTGACAGTCATCTTGGCAGGGGATCTGGCAAGCTTGGGTCAGGGCTGGCACAGGGCCTGCATACTGGAAGCACTCCTGGATGCTAGCCTGCCCTCCATCTTGCTTTCGACAAGTAATGGCTGAAAGAAAAGCATGTGTCTAATTACTCCATAATTAAAAAATTAAAAGCATTTTCACAGAGTGAAGAATTTTCTTCTAATTCCCAGTTTATAGTAGAAATGTGGTTAGAGTATTTCCAAGAATTACTGTAGACATAAAAGCTTGCGGTTGTGTGTGTGTGTGTGTGTGTGTGTGTGTGTGTGTGTGTGTGTGTGTTTCTTTTGGTACACACTGTGAGTGCACATTTGGAAGTCATAGTTTGACATTGAGTGCTGCCTTCTATCTTTCTCTGCTTAGTCTTGAGACAGTGTCTCTTGTAGAACCTGTAGGTCAACCTTTTGCCAAGGCTGGCTGGTCTATAATCTTGAGCCTCCTAGTGCTGGATTATAGTCATGTTCTACTATACCCTGCTTTTATGTGGATGCTGGGAATCACACACTAAGATCTTCATGCCTGTACAGTATGTACATTACTCACAGAGGCATCTCCTCAAGCCTTGCATATTCTTTAAATAACACATAGCCTTCCTTCATTGGCTGTTGTGACAAAGGAAAACATGCCATAACACACACACACACACACACACACACACACACACACACACACACACAGAGTGATATTTAGCAAATTTTACTAGTTCTATGTGTAAGGAGTTAAGTTTTTCTGCCCGCCATTGGTCTGGTCCCGCTGCCGCGCCAGCCCCAAATAACGCACAGAGACTCTGTATTTGATATAATGCTGTTGGCCCAGTACTAGTTTCTTATTGGCTAGCTCTGTCTTAAGTATTAACCCATTTCTGCTGATCTATGTTTTTTCACATGGTCTTCTCTTACCGGGGAGCCAGCCGGAATTCTGCTTTCTCTAGACTCTCCATCTTGACTCCTCCTTACTACTTCCTCTTTCCTCTTTGTCTCCTAGTCCCTCCTATCTTCCTTTCCTATTGGCCAACAGTGCTTTATTCACTAACCAGTATGAGAAACATATATACATAATGGCATCTCCCATCATCTATGAATGATTTAAATTAATTAGTTATAACAGATAAGTCATAGACCATAGACGGATTTTAGTTTGTGTTGAACATGGAATATTTGTCACAGTACTAGAAGCAAATCAGATGTCTCCAATGTTGTAAGACATCAAGTAATCTAAACTTTCTATATACAAAGGTCTCAATGAATGCCCATTGGTAAGTAAGTTGTGGTGGTAGAGCATGCTTATGTAAATTGTCTTACAGCCATATTAGTGTAGAAAGCAGCACCATTTTCCTCCACACAGAGTGTACTAGGTGTCTTTTGAGTGGTTAATAGGCAGCATCAAAGTCCTCCATCACTTCTGAACTTAAGTTCATCACATCGAAGAAACAATGATTTAAAAATAAATGTGGAAACTTCAACGACCAAACAATTCACATAATGTTTATATCCATGATATTGTTTCAGTGATTTATTTAGAAAAAGAAACAGTTTTATTAGACACAAAACATATAGACAACACTGTTGTATTAATGTAACAGATCTTTAAAGATCAAATGATACCATTTCTCTTCTCTCTTTACCATTTACTATATAGATTGTAAAAATCATTTCTTCATTTATTGAGGAATTCAAAGAAACATTTAAAGTCCTCAATTGAAATCTTCATTAAACTACTGTAAATAACCTCATTCACACTGATTTATATGACCTTTTCAGGTTTAGGGGTTGGGGGGGGGCTGAAAATGCCTATGCTCTCTAGCTTGTTCAGGACCCTAATAACTTGAAATTAAGGGAAGAGGCTGACATGTTGCCCTGAATCCAAGATGGGACACAGGTGTACCCAGATTAGGTTACACCCTCTGCACCTGTGAGCTAAGACCTAACCAAGCAGTGCAGGGTGTATAATGGGCATGCAAAGGGACATAGCTGACAGCCAGAGAAAGGAAGATGTTCCTTGCAATATGAGCATAACGAGGAAGAAATCCACACAGATAATTTTGTGCTGCAAGAGCAGTTCCAGGACTTTTGTGCTTTGACTGGAGCCTCATTCTTATGCTCTAGTTTTGTAGAGCCAATTTCTATAAATAGAGATCCTTGAATTGGGAAGTTATAATGCTTGGAATGGTGGGCATTGCAAAAACCAGGTGACAACAACTCTCACCACTTTTTAGCAGGCTGGCATGGTCACAGAAGTCTAAGGGAGTGGTTGTGTCAGGCTGCAATGTAGAATAAGCTGGTTGCCTTTTGGAATATAGATTTCTTACTAAACTCAAATTCTTTTATTTCATTGGCTAAGGACAAGGTTATGAATATTCAATTCCTTTGCAGCTCTGAGGATATTAATTTGCTGGATGGATGAAAGCTACTGCTCTAGGAGGTAATGTAGTACTGCCTGCAGCAGAAACATCTGGAATGCTATTCAGCACCTTGATTTTTAGTTTCATCCAAGTTGTGTCTGTACTGAGGTTAAGAAACAAGCACTTTCCAAAGCTGCTAGGAATTCAAGGCACAAGAGTTCTGACCAGGAATAGTGGTTAACTTGGAAGTTTTTCTGATACCCGGTGACCCTTGCACTATGTCAAGTTTTGGAAAACAATGGCATATGGGTCTGGAGCTCTACATAAGTTATTGTTCTCTTGAGAAGGTATTATGGGTGCTTGTATGGGGATGGATCGGGGAGAATCCATTTATTTTGACGGAAAACCATCTCTAGTACAGTAGACGTGGAACGTTCTTATGGAATTTCACACTCTTTACTCCTGCCATTTGGAAATAGGACCAATCACTAATATGCCATAAACTCAGTAAGTTACCATAGTTTATTGACAAGATTGTTCCAAAGATACTAAAAAGAAAGACTTGAGAAATGAAAACATTGGACATTTTACTACCTAGGATATCTAGAACCTCCAAGAAGGATTAACTTGTAATATAAAGTATTTGACTGTGTTAGAATTATTCTCTCTGAAATATTTTCAACTAAAATTAAGGATTATAAAAGTAAAGTTGGGTGTCTTTAAAATGAAATGAAATTTATCTGCTTATCTAACATCCCTTTCTGAAATGGAGACTCAAGTATAAATCTTTTGAGAAAGTTAATAAAGTTGCCTTGGATTCTCCATGAAGATCTTAGTCTCTCTCTCTCTCTCTCTCTCTCTCTCTCTCTCTCTCTCTCTCTCTCTCTCACACACACACACACACACACACTCTCTCTCTCTCTCTCTTTCTCTCTCTCTCTCATCTTATTTCCCCATTAAAATCCCATCCCAGCACAATTCTTCACAAAACTTGAAAGGACAATACTCAACTTTATATTGAAAAACAGAAGACCCAAGATAGCCAAAACAACCCTGTACAATAAAGGAACTTCCAGAGGTATCACCATCCCTGACTTCAAGCTCTACTATAGAGTTATAGTCCTGAAAACAGCTTGGTATTGGAACAAAAACAGACAGGTAGACCAATGGAATCGAATTGAAAACCCTGATATTAACCCACATACTATGAACACCTGAATTTTACAAAGTGGCTAGAATTATACAATAGGAAAAAAAAAAAGCATCTTCAACAAATGATGCTGTCATAACTGGATGATGGTATGTAGAGGACTGAAGATAGATACACATCTATCACCATGCACAAAACTTAAGTCCAAATGGATCAAAGACCTCAACATAAATCCAGCCACACTGAAGTTCTTAGAAGAGAAAGTGGGAGGTACCCTTGAATGAATTGGCATAGGAGACTGCTTCCTGAGTAGCACAGACAAATGAGATCAACAATTAATAAATGGGAATTCCTGAAACTGAGAAGCTTCTGTAAGGCAAAGGACACAATCGACAAGACAAAATGGCAGCCCACAGAGTGGGAAAAGATCTTCACCAATCCCACATTTGATAGAGGGCTGATCTCCAAAATATACAAAGAACTCAAGAAGCCAGTTACCAAAAACACCAAATAATCAAGTTAAAAAGTGGGGTACAGAACTAAATAGAGACTTCTCAATAGAGGAATCCAAAATGGCTGAAAGATAAGAAAGTGCTCAACATCCTTAGCCATCAGGCAAATGCAAATCAAAACAACTTTGCAGTACCATCTTACTCCTATCAGAATGGCTAAAATTAGAAACACCAAGGACAGTTTAAGTGAGATGATGTGGAGAAAAGAGAACACTCCTCCACTACATGTAGGAGTGCAAACCACCAGCCAGTTTGGAAATTGGTATGGTGTTTCCTCAGGAAAATGGAAATCAGTCTACTACAAGATCCAGCAATTTCACTCTTAGGCATATGCCCAAAAGATGCATATCCATGCAAAAAAGACTATATGAATACATAGCACCATTATTTGTAACAGCTAGAACCTGAAAACAACGTATATGTCCCTCAACTGAAGAATGGATAAATAAAATGTGGTACATTACACAATGGAATACTACTCGGGGGGGGGGGGCAATTGAATCTTGAAATTTGCAGGAAAATGGATGGAACTAAAAGAAACCATATTGAGTGAGGTAACCCAGTCACAAAAAGAGAAACATAAGTACTCACTCAAATCTTATTTGAGAATTACTCCATATATCATTACACTGTGATGTAAGAAAGGAAATCTAAATAAGTCCACTACCAATATAATTATATAAATAAATTAACATCATTGATAAATATACTATTTACAAAAATCAAAAGGTTTTTTTCTCCATGGTCAGACATGGCATAAAATCTTGTTAGTGCTTCAGGTAGTTGAAATGAAAAACAAATGTGTAAAATTTCCATTTCTGCTCCCAGAAACCTGCTCAGGACTTCACTTCCCTTATCTGAGATTTCCAACAGTTTACTTTTGGAATAAATCACACAGTGTTATCCAAACAAGAGCAAGAACACCGTTTGTACAATATATTGGAAATTTATCATGCGTCTTAGCCTGTTTGTATTGTAACTTAGAGGAAATACAACAATTCAAACATAGAAATGCAGTCTAAAATGAACTTCCTGTTACTGGGTGAAGAAAATATAAATGTTTGGAAAGGGAACCACCTGGTC